TACACTAATACTAAGATGAAGCAGTTTTTATTTTATTTTAATAGATAATTGTTTGAAAAAGTTATTAGAATAGCCGTGGGTAGCTGAATTTGCCAATCTTTTATTGTTTACCTGAGGAAATGCATGTTCATTCATTACCTTCTTATTTATAAAAGGTACATTAATGGTGTGGTGGGGATTTCTATCAGTATTGAGTATGATATGAAACTGTTTATATACTTTGTAAACTTTATTCACTTTTTTCCTTAAATACACACATAAGAATGACATATATGATACATCACTGCCATTTTTTGATATACACGTACCTTATTAATATTAAATTATGAGCTTGTTTCAACTCTAGTATTACAAACATTCTAAAGTTTACACAGTTTTTGTTAATGTACAAATAATTTCATCATTGCAGTTAGGCTAAAAGTAAGACAGGTTTGCTTTGAGCTGGTAAGCAAATGAATCATGATGTTTTTCACTGCTATTATTAAATGTATTATGATTAATGTTGTGTAATTATTACTTTTTTTATTTGCTTAGCCAAAATCATTGTAGATATGAAACACCAAACAGTTGATAAGGTAAAGTTTTATATTAGCTAGTGTGTGAGCCTGTTTTGTGTTAGAGAAGTAGAATAATCCTCTGAAAACATGCTTAATAGATAAAATTCACTCAATAAACAACATTTTTTAGATTAAATTGTTTAGAATTACATTGTGAAGTAAACCTGATTTGATTTTTAGGGAGGATATGATTCTGCAGATGAACATTCTCCTCGTGGACAGCTACTAAAAAATTGGGCTACAATATGGTCAGTATGGAAGTATCAGCCTCTTGATCATATCAAGTAAGTGTTATTGTTTATTTCATTGCAGAGCTTTGATAATTTCCAAAGAGGATATGGTTAAGATAAATATAACAAAGTACTTGAAATATATTTAAGCTGTTTTTAAGTGTGGTAAGGATATGTACAGATATTGTGTCTGATATAAAACTATGTATTTCATCAACATATTTTTTTTAATGCACTTGCATTTGCAACATATATGATACATCACTGTCATTCATTCTTATACATATACTTCTTTTATATCCAACTAAAAGTTATGTTCTGTATAATTAAAGATAAACTTTATTACTTTAGTAGGAAGACAAAGTAGTGATAGAAAAAAATAATTGGTTCTTAAATTTATGCTTAACAGTAACGGTGTCAACAATAGGCTACTGGTATTTGGTATTGAATATTTATTTTCAGGCTATAACAGTATAAATACAATGGTTAAGACCAGTATAGGAGTTAAGCATTCACATTTTGTTAGGTGTAATGGGTGCATTGAGTGGGATTTATTTGGGAACTCAGGACTGGAATGTACTTTTAAGGAAACTAGTAATGAAGATGTGCAATTTGTATGTACTGTTTCTAGGTTGGAGGAGATGATGGAGGCAGTCATGATTAAAGTAGATGCAATAGATAAAGAGAAGTGTAGACTGTGGAAAATGGCAGCAGGATTTCAGGAGGAGCTTAAGCTTTTACATTCAAGGGATACTTCAGCTAACAATGATTTTCAGGAAGTTAGAAAGAGTACTATTAGAGTAAAAAGTAGTTTTAATGAGCCTTTTCTGTTGAGCAATAAATTTCAGCCCTTTCACTTCTGCAGATGAGGAACTATTAGAGGGAAGGAAAACAAAAGGTTTAGAGAAGGATGTGGATGATAAGGAGGTTATAGTTATAGGTGATACCTTGACAAGGCATGTGGATAGAATAGACTGTGGAGTAAATAGGGAGAAAAGAATCAGATTATGTTACCCAGGGGCACAGGTGGAGGATATAACTGACAGAGCAGGAAATATAATAAAGGGGGCTAACAGAGATGCAGTTTTTGTGGGGCATGTAGGGGCTAATGATGTAAGGAAAGGTAGGTCAGAGAAGCTAATTAATAAGTACAAGGGGTTGATAAAGGCATTTAAAGAAAAAGGCCATAACTTAATTTTGTTAGGGATGCTGCCCAGAATTAACTGTGGGGATTGAGTTATAAGTAGGTCACTAGGGCTAAATACTAGGCTTAGGTTAGTATGTAAGGATGAACAGATTGGCTGGTTGGACTTATGGGATCAGTTCAGTGGAAGAAGGGAGCTTTTTGGAATGGATGGTTTACATTTAAATAGGGTAAGCTAGCTTGTTTGCTAAGGTTATTATCTCAGTTGTAAGGGAAGTTTTAAACTAGGACTAGTGGTGAAGGCCAGGAAAACTAAATGCAAAAAGAATAAGAGGCAGAGAAAAGTTTAGCATAGGAAATGAGTATAGAAGTAGCTGTAAGGATAGGCTTATTTGTTACTATTGTAATGCTAGAAGTATAAGAAATAAGATAGATGACTTTAGAGCACTGGTAGGAATGGAGGGTTTTGATATAATGGGAATAACTGAAACATGGTTAAATGTAGATGATTTTGATGACCGAAATTTCTTTGAAATATAGGGTTACAGACTGTTTAATAGGGAT